TCTCTCTCTCTCTCTCTCTATGTAATCTGCCGCCGCCGTGGGCGAGAAGACACAACAAGAATTAACGACCAAGTTTCATGCAAGGATGAACATATAACTAGTATGAAAGAGAAGAAGGAGAAGAGAGAGAAAAAACGAGGGCACACAGGCTACCGTAAATATTTGCTGGTAGTTTACCTCTTCAAGTTTTTCCCCCCCTCGGATACTCCTCTTCATTATCGGGGAAACGTCGAAGGATAAAATGCGCGGCGACATATCCGAGCGATTTCGTGGGATTTGATCTCCTAAAACGAAGGCTGAAAAGCTTGCGCCGAGACATGGAGAGGACCTGATAACAACTAATTGAAAGGTTAATCTACATAGCAGCCTGTGACAAAGTGGTACCCTCCCCCTTCTTCTTCTTCCACTGTAGACATCCCTACTTCAGTGTAGTGGAGCGGACCGTCGCCCCTTTAGTGCGCTCCTACAATGATATTGTCAATTTCACTTTTTCCCCCCCTCCATCAACATGTCCAGTGATGAGCCAAGAGGAACATTTCTTCTTTTTTTTTTTTTTTTTTTTTGTGGTGGTGGATTAGTCTCGGCAGGCTACATAACACTTTTATGTCATAACACACTCCCCCCCCCACACACATATCTATTAACATTTATTCCCTATGGGCATTTTTCTAACTTCCATTGATGTGCTGTAGATATAAAGCTCAACACATTTGATTGATTTTGACATAAACACATTCAAAAAAATCCACTTTTATTATTCATTTCCTTTTCTAAATGAGCTATTTCTCTCACTGGCCAATAGTACCCAGGGCAGTATGGGATATTATACACCAACATACCCCTAATCTGCTAATTAACTTCACCATGCCTAAGGAAGAGCAATAGTTGTTAGCAATAATGTAGATCATTAAATTGTCAGCCTTTTTAGATTCTTTGCGCTCCCCCTCGCTCATTCACTAACTCTTAAAGCAGCATTAGAAATGCCAGAAAGCTCATTTTTCATGCAGTAATACAGATGTAATTAGAGAGATAATTGGTAACTTCCCATCAGATTATAAACACATGCTGTACTGTACAGGCAGCTTTAAAGAGATCTCAAATGAAAACATTTAACCCTTATTAAAAAAAGAAAGAAAAAAGAAGACATATTTGATGTGTAATTTGATTTGCATTCATTTTAATTCACGTGTTAATAGTCTTGTCATTATGTTGTATCTTCATCAGATGCTCTTGTTACCTCGATCGCCTCATTGATGTTTTTCTATTTACCTGTAACGCCCGTGCTCCCCCATTTACAGCGTTAATATCGTTCAGTGTCTCGTTGCCGTTCAAGCCCTTGACATTTATTTCAATCTGCCTATTGATAATTTGTGGTGAACACATGCAAATAAAGAATAAAAAAAGGCTTATTCCACCGAGGCGCTGTTGTAACATTTTGTTAAAGCAGGTGAATAACGGGGCGGGAAGGAGAGGAAGGAGGAGGAGGGGGTGGTTAGGATCTGATGCGTTTAGAGGACTGGTGTCATGATGGAGGCGCTGACCAAACCTGCCTGTGTCTGGGTTATAATGAATGCCACCCTGGGCCCCAGCAGGTCCTCCACTGCTGCATGGGTCCAGGGATAATTTGAATTGGAGCATGTGCCATTGCAATCTGCCCATCCCCCCTCCTCAATCCCTGCCAACTGCCACACTGGTGTTCACAAACACTGCTGCCCATCTGCGGGGCAAAACACTGGCCAGGACCCCAGTTACTCCTTTTGCCTGCGTTCAGAAAATGATATTCTGGTCGCGAACTCGCTTTTGTAGGCAAAATATCACAAAGTCAAGTTTTTTTTCTTCTTCTCTCGGCTTCAAAAGTTGTTAAAAAAAAAACCCATTTAACTCAAAACAGTAAATGAAAAGAGATTTTGTAGATTGCTGCTACACAATAAAACATTTAACGCTCCTGAAAAAGGCCCCCGGAGCTCACTAGCTTACAAAACGGATAGCATAGTTTTTGTAAAGGAGTAAATTAAATGCACACATTTTACGCTCGTTTCCCAACCCTTTGCATTCATTGAGCAAAGCAAAAGTTTACCAAGAAAAAGTGCGAAAAAAGTACATTTAGTAGTTTCCTTATTGTGGCAGGGATTCTCATTACTTGATCATGGCTCCCTCTTTTTGTGTTTGTGTTTTGCCATCTGTCATCTTGAGAGGCAAATGAACCAGCTGCCATGGAGTGTGATCTTGCCCAATCAGAAATGTGGTCCTTTTCAAAGCGCATCTGTGTGAAACCTTAAAAAATGCTGATGAAAAAAAAAAGTGTCTCAAAGTTGTTAATAACATTTTGGCTGGAGAATGTTTTCACCTAGACGGCCCTGATTAGCATAACTGCATAAACTATGCCTCATTAGAGGAAACAGAGCTCTTGTGCAGGGAGTGTAGAAACCCGGATTCCTTCCTGACATGCTCAGAGAAAAAGAAAGAAAATATGATGTAACAGGTTGTTCTAGGGGAACAAAAAAAAATGTAATTCTCAATCACACTTCTTTGTACAACAGATGAGTGTTGAATTGTTTTCCACAAAACACTTGAGACACTGCCCGACACTTCTGCTGGCCCACAGTCAGTGGGAAGTGGTGGGGGGTGGGA